TGGCTGTCCAATTTTCCCAGCACCATTTATTGAAGAGACTGTCTTTTTTCCATTGCATATTTTTTCCTGCTTTGTCGAAGATTATTTGACCATAGAGTTGAGGGTCCATATCTTGGGCTCTCTATTCTGTTCCATTGGTCTATATGTCTGTTTTTGTGCCAGTACCATGCTGTCTTGGTGATCACTGCTTTGTAATATAGCTTGAAATTGGGCAACGTGATGCCCCCAGCTTTGTTTTTCTTTTTCAACATTTCCTTGGCAATTTGGGGTCTTTAGGGCTAGTATCCAAAAATCTATGAAGAACTTCTTAAACTCAACACCCAAAAAACAAATAAGTCAAAAAATGGGCAGAAGACATGAACAGATACTTCTCCAAAGAAGACATACAAATGGCTAACAGACACATGAAAAAATTTTCATCATCATTAGCCATCAGGGAAATTCAAATCAAAACCACATTTAGATAGCACCTTACACCAGTTAGAATGGCAAAAATGGACAAGGCAAGAAACAACAAATGTTGGAGAGGTTGTGGAGAAAGGGGAACCCTCTTACACTGTTGGTGGGAATGCAAGTTGGTACAGCCACTTTGGAAAACAGTGTGGAGGTGCCTCAAAAAATTAAAAATAGAGCTACCCTATGACCCAGCAATTGCACTACTGGGTATTTAGCCCAAAGGCACAGATGTAGTGAAAAGAAGGGCCATATGCACCCCAATGTTCATAGCAGCAATGTCCGCAATAGCCAAACTGTGGAAAGAGCCAAGATGCCCTTCAACAGATGAATGGATAAAGAAGATGTGGTCCATACATACAATGGAATATTACCCAGCCATCAGAAAGGATGAATACCCAACTTTTACATCCACATGGATGGGACCGGAGGAGATTATGCTAAATGAAATAAGTCAAGCAGAGAAAGTCAATTATCATATGTTTCACTTATTTGTGGAACATGAGGAACAGCATGGAGGACATTAGGAGAAGGAAGGGAAAAATGAAGGGGGGTGGGAATCGGAGGGGGAGACGAACCATGAGAGACTATGGACTCTGAGAAACAAACTGAGGGTTCTAGAGGGGTGGGGGATGGGTTAGCCCAGTGATGGGTATTAAGGAGGGCACGTACTGCATGGAGCACTGGGTGTTATACGCAAACAATGAATTGTGGATCACCACATCAAAAACTAATGATGTACTGTATGGTGACTAACATAACATAATAAAATTAAATTAAAAAAAAAAACTTATTTGGTCACCCACCTGGCATATGGCAATCAGAGGCAAGATGAATCCTTTGAGGCAAAGGGCACCCCCACTTGAAAACCAGGAATCTGTACCCCATTCATAGGCTCACAGAAGGGCTAAAGGGATGAGTTACCCAACAGGGGGCCCAATACATTCAATCATCTATTCATGTTGTGATATAATAATTTATATAGTATTGCAATATCTGTATATAATATCATAATATTATATGTATATAATATTATACATGTATATCATGTCCTATGATAAAGATGGCTGTCTCATTTAATGCCCAGTCAAGGCCAGGCTGTACACGAAGAACTTATGGACACATTATCTTGAATTGTCACATCAACCGTACAAAAAGGATGCTCTTCTATGTTGTATAGATGATGTAGAAGAATTTAAAAGCAATGTAAGCTCAGAGAAGCTACATGATTTGCATATGACTCTAGATGTTCCACCACTCCACATTACAACTTTCATCTTAGACTTCTGTTGTTTATATAACTTTTAAAATTTAGCCTAATTAAACCCTGTAAAAAATATTACACATAAGGAGAAACACAAAGCCACTCTTACTCTCCAGGCAGGAATAATCTCGTGGGGCTTGCTCTAAGTTTGACCACCTATAGCGGCGTAGATCGGGGGATAGGTCAGAGCTGCCGACGCTACCCACTCCTGCCTGCCCCCTCTTTGGTTCCCTTCGGTCCTCCGGGAAGACTCCAAGTCCAAGGCCCTTCGGAGTCTGTGCCTGCTTCACCGTTTGTCCAGCTCTTATCTCCTCAGCCCCACTGCTCATTTCCAACAGAGTCCATTTGACATTAAAATAGGACAGAAATTGCAGAAAAGGAGCAGGCAGTGGAATGAAGCTAAAGCTTGCACGTGGAGGGAACACGGACAGAGGACAAAGTCATTACGTTTGAAGGATTATTCTCTCATTTTTTCTTTCTGGCACTTATCTCTGGTCTCATTCTAAACAAATATTTTGTGGTGGGGCTTGAAAGAAATAGGTTTCAATCTCAATTTAACAGGACATTGATTTGTGTGAAAGTTAAGCAGGGAAAAGGGGAAACCTAGAAACGTGTGGAATTGTTTTAAAGACATTGAAATTAAGGATGAATTTTTTCGAATGTTACATGCTACACATTTCTAATATAATGTTCTTTATAAATATAACTGGTACTCAAGACATCTGCTTAAAGTATATATGGTCTGTGACTATGACGATCTATAATTACAAAACAGGATTTATTAAACTGCTATTAAAGTTAAATTATTTCTGTAGTAAAAACACTACCATAATTGGAAATCTTATGCGATATGTTTCTTCTGGTAGAATTTGATCTATGGAAACATAGCCACTTTGGAGGATAGTTTTAAGTTTTATAGCTGGAATGCTCCAATTTTGTAATATGACCCTCTGGAAATCCAGCTTACTGCATTCTGGCATTGTACTGACAGGTTTCTAAGATAAGTATAACATGAAGCTGAAGCTAATATTTTTTCCCCCTCAAATGTCAGAAAGGTATTAAGCAGAAAAATAGTTGAATGTAGAATTCCTCGTGCATGCATTTCGAAATGTTCCAAAATAATTAACCTTGTTTTGGGACCAATTAAGCCTAGGGTATAAATTATAAATTCGCACATTGATAAAATCTAAACAGGGATATATTCCTAAAGCCGGTTTCTTCTTTTGTTAAGCATGTGAACATCTGTGAGTTAAAGAATTAATCCAAAAGTATGAGAAAGATGTAAAAACCAACTGCTTTTGTTTAATAATCTAGTGATTTCTCTCTCTGTGGTGGCTGAACTTACTCTTTTTACAGGTTTCCTTGGGGATGAGGGAGATTCTAATTGTCTTTTGAACATCGCTGGTTTTCTTCTTGTATACGGTACAAAATGATGCTTAGATTCAAGTTGCAGATTCTACTGTGGGACACCGAAAGCATTAGCCCAGGGCGGTGGGAGCCACCGGCTCGTACTCAAGTGAGGGAGGGGAGACGTGTGCTAGAGCTCATGGTCCATGACGGTCAAGCACAGAAGCACATGTTTATGTATGAGAGGAGTTCCAGAGAGACAGCTTTTACGATGAAAACACGGACATAGCAATACCACATTTACCATAGGTTTCCGTGAGGATTATTGAGGAGAGACCCTTACTAATCACACACTTGAAAAACGTTAGCTACAACTGAGACTTTCTGGGGGTGGCTTCTCTTTGATTTTTCCAGGTTTTAAGTAACTCCCTCTCTGTCATCTCCCTATCTCTGTTCTCTTTCTCTCTGCCATCTCTACGTCTCTCTGCAGTTAACTGGAGGCTAGATACGATGGGCGAACTTAGGGCTTCTTTAATGAACCGTAATTGAACGATGTGCACGCATAGAGTCGTTCTATCATCCCATGGATATTTGATGCTGCTATACAGTAAAAATAGGAAGTCTGAATAAAAAAATACTCGAATAAGTATTTTCCATAAAGTAGAAATGCTGTTACTAAAGTTGTAAGTTTATTAAATCATAGGAGATTCACTTAGTAACACCCAGTTTTTTAGTTTCCTGAAACTTGTCTCAAAGTCCCCATTAAGTCTTCTGCCATTCAGGTATTTTGGAATGGATATTAACTCACTCCATTATGAGCATTCTTAAGCTCCCATAACTCCAGGTGAAATCCTTTTTACTAAATATATTTACTATTCAGTATACAAGTAGGCCCTACTCTTGAACGACAGCTGAAGACTTTCTGAGGATTCCGTGATTTCCTGAATAGTCTGCCTGATTAACCAGACTTTTAATAGCAATTTATGAATAATAAAAAATAGTGATTCTAAACAAAGGAGTTGTATGTGGCAGGAACACTGTTTTTTTGTTTGATTTTTTTTTCTTGTATGTACATGAGCAGATCATGTCACAAAATTTTCATGCAGTGTTCCACTAGATTGCTAACTTATTTACATGACTGTCAGGAATTAATTTCAAATGTTGATTTAACGCTGTGCATATGAGAAGTATGGAAATTTAAAGTCAGAAACATAAAAGAAAATTAGAAGCCCATCTTTTCAAGAGGAATAAAAGGAAAATCACACTCCCAAGGAACAAATATACATCCACTGCCTGCCAGAAATCACCACAACTTGCTAGTACCTTTGTTAGGGTAAAGCATGTTCAACTGAGCTCACCAGTGCTTCCAAAGCTTATCGAATAATTAAAACAAATAAATGCATCAGCACCCATACACTTATAATCAGCACTCACCATCAACTAAATAGCTACAAATTATCGATTTTTCTTTTTTTAGAAATGAGAGAACATATATTAAAACTCCCCAAGCCATATTTTAATAATATTGCTTTAAAAATTCATCTTAAATCAATTAATAAGAACTGCAATTTTAACAGAAACTCTCTAAAGGTAGAATTACTACCAAGAGAAAGGACAAACTCAAAACTTACTAATGTATTCAAAAGACTATTAAAAAAAACTTTACAATTTAATTATTGGAAGATTATAGAACTGCTTCAGTGCTTCTGTACTGAGTAAGTAAGCTGTACGTGTGAGGAGTAATAAATGAAATTGTTAATTTTACTGTTTCTCTAGGGAGTAGCAGGGGAAGAGTGGGAGTTATGCTTTTTAGATCTCCCAATGGATCTTGGTTTATAAGCAATAATAAATCCTAAGTATGTTGCTAATTAACTCCACTTCAAACCACTCCCTTTTTTTAGGGCTTAAAAGACACTTGACTCCTGGGATCACTCACCATTCATATTCTTAAAGATGTTCAGGATGGGGAGGATTTGCCGGTAATAGGGCACCAAAGCTTCACCCACCATCTCAGCGGACACAACCAGATGCTGGAGGACTTTAAGAGTGACGCAGATGACCTGTCGGTTTCGAAGGTTCAAGGCATCTTCAAGGTAGGACAAGGAACAAACCGAAAATAAGAAGCATTAATTCCTACAATGGTAAGGTGAAGTCGACTTGTAGAACGCTAAACTGAACTGTATTAGGTTAGCTGGATGAACCTTTATTACTAGTTTTGAATGATGCCAGGTAGCCTTTAATGTTATAAATGAGATCTTGTTTGTTAATTATTTGTTCTTCCAGTTTGTGCCCATCCCTTACCAACCCTAAGAAAGCCGCTCATCGTCCTTCACAGAAGATGCTGGTGATGGACAAGATCCGTTAGCGTCGCTGGGGTAAAAGGGCCCCATGAAGGCCGACAGATAAGTTTCTATGCAACAGTCCTTTCCAGTTAACAACCTACGTGATCCTTAAAACCATTACCACGAAACAAACATTTATTTGGGAAGGGAGAACTGGGTGTGGTGTGTGTGAGAAGAAACTACAGGCTATAACAAACAACGACAAGGTTCTTGGTAGAAGTGAACATGAAGCGACTATAGTTAGACTCTCAAGAAAGCAGGAAAGAAAAGCAACAGTTTTAAAGCTCAGAACTTTAGAAGGAATCAACAGTAAATAAGAGACCCAAAGAATGCAAAATGGTTTTAAAGAACAATTCTAAATGCACAGTAACAAGCTACACTAGAGAGATTGGATGGAAACAGTAAGTAAACTGGTTGTCCCCCCACTTGCTGGGTCTGGAAGGTACCATTCGTTCCAGCGGGGAAAGCAGAGGACTGGGGACCAGAATGCTGGTAATTGGCTGTAGGAACTTGCCAACTCCCCGACATGGTCTCAGTTTCCTCAATCATGGGAATGTATTATTTATTTTCTAAAATGACTAAAAGTTCCAAGACTTAAATAGAAGGGTTATATAAAGCATGTATCATAGAACGTCAGAGGTGGTGACAAACTGATGGCCCCAGACTATTCCAAAAGAAAGTCAATGCCTCTTATTTGTAAGATGTTCCATCTTCTAAAGAAAAGATTGGCTATGATTAACCTATGTGTCATTTATGGAAGAACAAAAGGAGCCAGGCTACCAAAAGGGATGACGCCATGGTCAATATATGTGATGCAGTCCTGACGTTATTTTTGAACTCTAGCTCACATTTCTAATAGCCAGGATCTTCTAGCACCTCAAATTCAGTGTGTTCCAAAGATAAGTTTCATCCATAAACTTTATATTTTTCCTATATTCCCCATATTAGCAATGACACAACCAGATCCCCAGCCTTCCAGGGTCAAAATGTTGAGTATCTCATATATCTATTGAATATTCTACTGAAAGTGAAAACCAGATGGTTGTATGGGTACAGAATCGTGAGTGTATCAGTTGTTCATCATTGCATGGCTGACTGGCAATTGCAGCTCATTGCCACCTCCCAGCATCATGAGAGAATATTCTACCGCATATCACTAGCCCAGAAAGAAATTCACAAATCAAAGTTCAGTTTCTACTGAATCCATTTGGCTTTCACACCATCTTAAAGTTGAAAAATCCTAAATCAAACAATTTTAAGTTGAGAACCGTCTGTAAACACAAATGTGGTGAATGGAGATGGCTCAGCTTTAACTCCGGGAACCAATCTAAACATAACTATGGAATTTCGATTGTAGGATGGCTCGTTACCACAGCATTTAGACACACTGCAGGCCATACCCTATTCTGAAAACAACTAGAAATAGAAGGCTATAATTTACCCTAAAAGTTGTAGTAATAAGATTTTCAAAAGCAAAGTGCCAGAGGTAAGATAGAAAGGGCGAAGGGCAGGTATAGTATCTCACAGACAGTAGTGGGGGCTCTTTTTCTGGTTTTGTCCAATCCAAAATGTTTTGTTTTTTTCAGGTAGCCAAGTACTGAACCCTGCCTCCTGACCCAGCTCAGTTTAACAAATGAGAACTTGGGAACCAGCAGAAATGTTGCTATGAGGATTATGGGCAGTAAACACTCTTTCAAAAAGTCTACCAATGAAGTTAAACATGTTTAGGAACCAGAACTGCATAAAGCTGTGTGATAGTTTACGCAGTAGTACCCATGAATAGTGAACAAATACTACAAGTTTGAAATATTCATAAGAAAGGGTATTTAAACAGCAAATCTAAAGGGGCATCCAGCCCAGTGGAGAGAGTAAAGAAGGCTCCTAGACACAGGGACAGACTCGAGGGATGAGTAGCGGTTATTTAGGTGAAGAGTATTCCAGGAGAGGGAACAGCATGCTAGAGGCTGTCTCCTCTTAGATAAAAAGAGTCCTCCTTCTACAAGGTTGACTCCAGCTCATAGGGATAAAGTTCTACTTAACAATGTGGGAACAAAACTCCAGATAGCATAGAAACAGTTTTCTAAATAGTTTTATCATTGTGTAGAGCCCATCTGACAATTGCAGGAAAGATTTTCATAGCCATAATGGCTGTAGAATATTGGCTTTCTCAGTTTTCTTCTTTTAGAATATGCATACCAATGCTTGCAATAAGCCTAGAATATGCTCATTTACTATCAATGTTAGAGTTCGCCATATAGAATATATTGATTAAGGAGTAAAGTTTTTGTATCTATGAGTAATAATAACATCAAACTTTTGTTGATTAGGTTTATGCCTGTCTGTATAGATAATTGATCACATGGAAATAAACAATCTCTCTCACCATGGATGGTAATAACAGCTATCAGGAAATAATTATTTCATTTTACTGCAACCTTGATTGAATTAACATGTTTGTGATAAGTGTTATTGGATTGACAATGACTGACAAGTATAAGATGTGTAAACCATTACTCTTAATGGCATCTAAAATGGAACTCTGAGTCTCCTAAATGACCAGGGAATAGATCTAAAACCTCTGTACTCACTGTGAAATAAAGCCAGGGTATGCACTATAAAAGCCGCTGAACTTCGTCCAAGAGGGATTTTTTTTTATATTGCCCCTTTCCACTTCAGTTCCTTTATTTTTCTTCCTCATTCTTGAGGAATTAAGATATACCATTAAGTTGGAAGTCTTTTTGTTCTTACCATCCCAATGGAATTAAATAAAAAAGGGCTTTTTTTTTTGGAAACAAAATTCTTTTCCTTTGAAAAGGTATGTTAACAGATATAAAGAATATGATTCTGTAGCTTGAAAGAGCAGAAATGTGTTTATTCTTGTCTTGATAGGCCTGAAAGCTATTGTCAAGACATAGTGAGGACTTTGAACTCAAGATTTAAGATTTTGAAACGGGTCTGACATGAGATATCTACTGACATTATAGATCAGCCAGTGGAACCTTTCTATTCAGAAAAATTGGATTTCTATTGTACTGCTTACTTCCTTCAAGTATAATCAACAAGATAAAGCTTCCAGATATATAGAAATTGCTGAAGAATAAGGAAAAAAATAATTTAAAGTCAAAGTGATAAAACTTATTCATCTTAGATGGTTATAAGTTACATGTATGATTTTTCGCAAACATAAAATCCATTATTGCTATAATTTTTGCAAAGTGTGAACACTTTCTACTATTAGATATGATTCACTACTGGGGAATCAGGAAAAATGGAAATATTTCTACTTCACCAAACAAAATGCAAAAGCAAACAATAAAGTCTAAAAAATATTTTTGACATATGCTATAAATGTTAATATCCTTGATATACAAATAGCTATCACAAACCAATAAGATTGAGTTTGCTAATTTAAAAATGGGCAAGGACATTATATGTTAATAATAAAAAAGAGTATAAAGTTAAAAACAATGGGCAAGGAATATGAATAGATAATATACAAATTAATAAAATAATTAATATTCCAGAATGTTCAGCTTCATTAGTAATCAAAATAATACTACTTTATAATTTTGAATATCATTTAACAAAAAGTTTTTGAAAATTTAATACTCAGTGTGGACACAGTTTTGGGAAAAGAGGCACTCTCATAGATACCGTTTTACGAACCATCACAATCTTTCTATAGCAATATAGTAGTCCCCCCCAACCCCTTATCCATGGGGGATATGTTCTATAACCCCCAGTAAATGCTTGTAATATCAGATAGTACCAAAGCCCACATAGGCCATGTTTTTTTTCTATACATATTATCATAAAGTTTAATTTATAAATTAGGTACAATAAGAAATTAGCAATTATAACTAATAGAGCAATTATGACAATATACTGTAATAAAAGTTATATGAATGTGGCCTCTCTCCCTCTCTATCTTATTTACTGTACTCACCCTTCTTGTGGTGATGAGAGAGGACAAAATGCCTATGTGATGAGATAAAGTGAGAGGAATGATGTAGGAATTGTGACATAACATTAGGCTACTATTGACCTTCTGACATATGCCAGGAGGATCATCTACTTCTGGATTGCAGTTGACCATGGGAAACTGAAACCAAGGAAAGCAAAACCACGGATAAAGGTGTGTGTGTGTGTGTGTGTGTGTGCTGAGGTGGGGGGGCACTACTGTATGTGTATAGTATTTGACCCAGCTATTTCGCTTCGCTTCTGGGCATTTAGTCTAAGGAAGTATGCACCTGTGCAGAAAGAGTAATAGGGAAGGATGTGATAGATAATATTTATAATTAGAAACAATCTAAATGTTCCAAAAACAAAGGATTAAGTAAAATCAGGTATACCTATATAATGGAAAACTACAAAGTTACCGAAGTCATCTAATAGAAAAATATTTTTTAAAAAAATAGGAAAATGTTTGTAAGATACAGGTGAGGAAGAAAGTAGGTTATAAAGCTATGATCTCATTTTGTAGAATAGAATGTAAACAGAAATTTATATACTCAGCCACTAACAGTAGAGACTATCTTTTCTGTAGGCATACGTACACATAAGATTCTATTCCATTAAAAAAAAATACTCTTTTATACTACTTAAAAAATATTCAGCATATTTACCAAAAATATTCTTCACGATGACTTCATATATTTTAATTTAGTGGAATGTAGAATGCTCTCCTTATGAGTTCTCAGTATTTTCTTGATTATTCTTAACCATTTATACTTTGAGACAAACTTTAAAATAATTTGGTGAGCTTAAAAAAATATGCTTGAGACAGATAAAAATTTTAATAAATTTAGAGAATATTTGGGGGGAAATTTACATCTTTACTACTAAATCTTTCCATTAGAAACATGTATCTCTTCAATTTTCCTTGTCGTCTTTAAGCTCCTCAGGAAAGCTTTATAGTATTTTTCATTTAGATTCTGCATAATTTGTTAGGTTTACTCAAAGGAATTTTATACTTTGATACTATTTGTCTAAGACCATTTTATCCCAATATGCATTCTAAAAATTCTTCATAACACGTACATTAAAACATTATTTTTATATATTTATTTACTGGTGAACTTAATTCTTTTACTGGTTCTATTGTTTGAGTGAATTCAGTGGGGTTCTAAAAGTAATTATGTTATCACAAACATTGCTAAATTGATCTTAACTTTCTAGTATTTATTGTTGGTCATATGTCAGAGGCCAGAATTTCTAAAAGAAAATACAGTATTATAATGCTGAGAGTAGACATTTAAGACTTTGAATCATTCTCATTTATTTATCTTAAATGATTATTATTTTTATTGTATAAAATATGTATAAGATAAAATGTCATTTGACCATTTGCTAGTGTGCAATTCTGTGGCATGAATTACATACACAAAATTACGCAACCATCACTACTACCTATTTCCAAAGCTTTTTCATGACCCAAAACAGCCCCTAGTAACCTCTCATCTACTTGCTTGCTATCTCCAAGAATTTGCCTATTATAGAAATCTTAATGATGTATCTTAAGTCTTTTTTTAAAGTTAAAATATTTTATAAATATTTAAGATCGTTTGGCCTAACATATTAGTTGAATTGGATTGAAATGGACATAAATTTTGCTGGTCGAGAGGCACTAATCATGTAATTCATTAATTTACAGAATATATGAACTCACAGTATGTTTTCAAACTAAATGTAGGTTTCAAAATTGTAGAAATTTTTCTCTTCCCAAACAGAATTCGACTGCTAAATAAATGTGATATGGCTGAGTTCTCATATTCTTGGGCAATTAATGCATCAGAGGATTAGCTCAGCTATTATGGGCATCTGGGAAACCTATGATAAAGGCTACAATTTTGTCTTTAATTCATTGTTTTCCAGTAAGTGTTATGTTAATAAAAGCATCAATTTTTCTCTCATCCCATACAGAAAGGAAAAACTGCCTTTATACAAAATGCAGATTCTCTTTCAAAGCTTTGTTATTAGAAGTAGTTAACTTTTATACTTTCTCAATTGACAAGAATATATTCTGACTTTAGGACCATAGAACACAACTTAGCCTTTGGTGAGTGTTTGGCTTTTCTTTCCCTTAAATAGTTTTAAAGACTGATACATAATTAATAATTTTTTTAATAAATGAAAGTATTCATTATCAAAATGGTCTCAACAATAGAGTCCCTAGCATGATCGAGGTTATACTCACAACTTTGTAGACATAAAGAAACCTGAATGACAATGTAATCCCACACACTCCTCATGCTTGTTGTAGCCAAGGGTGGGCCTTTGCATGCTTTCATACATCCTGAACACCTCTAACATTAACAAAGAATAAACTTACCCATACTCTGCTTTGTCAGAAAGCAGTGCAGGGTTTGTCTCTTTGCACCTTGCTCCCCTGTCCCTAGACTGCTGGCTCAGTTCAGCCAGAAGGAGTGGGCCACAGATGCACTGATGACCCAAGCAAGGAGCCGGCCAGCCCTGACTCCATTCTCCAAATAAGACCAAATCATGATCTGCTGTAACAAGCAGGCACTTCTCTGAGAATTACGGTTACATTTCTTCCTCTGGTGGAGGAAGGTTTTCTAAATTTGCCCCAGCTTTAAGGCAGTGGAAGTAGTCAACTATAAAGAAGGCTATGACACAAAGCCAGGCTTTTCACAAAACCAGGAAGCTGAGAGTTGTGGCACCACACAGAAGGTAGATGAACATCCATTTCCAAGGAGGAGCCCCCCCTTTGAAGAACTGCACACTGCTAAGTTTGGCATCAGTATGTGGTACAATTCTGGAATTGATTATTTAAGCAAGTTATTTGAGAACTCCCAAGAAAATAGTGGTGATTATTACCAGCCAGAGTGAGTTCTGTGGAATGTCAGGCCAAGCTTACTTCATGTATTCTGATAAGTTTACTCATAAAAGAGATCAGAGACAGGCTATCAGCAAGGCATCTGGCAAGACCTCCCTTGTAGGCAAGGCACAGAAAGGGTTGAGTTAGGCTTTTTTTCCCTCCTGTGTGAGCAATTGAATCCAAGCAATATGCCTTGATGATTTGGCCCTACTGCAATACCACCAAGGTCTCTACTTGATCTAATCCATTTCCATCTAACATTTTTATTGTAAATTTGATGAGAGTTATAGAATCCAAATCTATTAATCTTTCAATGACCCCAAGTTAGGAAGTCTGCAGAGCTATGCCCATGAAGGAACACCAAGAAGGTAAAAATGATAATTTGCTATTATTACCACCTTGACTTGGCACTGTGCTAAACATTCTACTCATGTGATTGGTTAATTCTTACATCATCTCTGGGCAGTAGGTTTTATAATCCCCTGGGAGAAATGACGTAATTCATTTGCCAAAACCACACAGCTAGTTAATGGCAGGCTGGGGTCTGGTTTGCATGAGCTCAAGCTCTGTGCTCAGGGTGGTTAGACCCTACCTCCTCCCAACATCTCACCAAGCCCTGGTAGAAATGGAGCCAGACTTGGAACATGTTCAGGAGAAATGTTCAGAGCTGGAGATGCAGACTCATCTCCTGAGCTCAAGGAGTTGGACTAATCTGCACAAAATGGTAAAGCCTGTGATAGAAGCAAGGGCCAGGTCCCTTTCCAGTGGCCACACTATTCTCAAAAAGGACAGAGAGGTGTGGTCTTTAGCATCAGCTACTGAAAGATTACAAGATGGAGGTGACTTCCTGATAAAATGGATATTTTAAGCTATAAGATTCCAGATTCCATTTCCCTCCATAGATATGGGTTCTCATTTGGGAATCTGAATTGGTCGGTATAGGCTAGGTTTGCTGCAGCAATAGATTAACCCTATGGGCTCACTGGCTTCACACGGAAAAGGACCATTTCACATTCATGGTAGATATCCAATTCAGTTAACACGGGGTGAGGAGAAGACAGTAGGAGGACAGTGCATTGGCTCTGAAAAGCTTAGTTTGGAGGGAACACACACCTCTTCCATTCACAGCCCATTGGCAGAGTTAGTCCCATGCTTCCACAGAACTGCATAACAGAAATGCTGGGGAGCTGTTAGGTATTTGGTGCTCAGTAAATGTCTCTGACATAGAATTTCATGTTATTTGGGGAAACTAACTTCTCCTTTCCCCTAACCAGTACTATGATTGCATGACCTAGGTTAATCCAGTCAGTGTGTTCCATCCGCTTGACCACAGTTCAAGGCTGGGGATGTGCCCCTAGGTGGTATAATAAATTCAGGGGCAATGACACTTTCGCTTTCTTACAGGTATACATAAGTAGGTAAGCAAGCATGTAGTCCCTGGATCCACTTGGAACATTCAGAGGCCAAGAAAGGAGCCAGCTTTAAGATGATCTTGCATAAAACAAAGCAGAGAGTGACAGTGGTGAGCCACCAGATTAAACCATGCTTGAAATGAGACCCATCTCTGGATTGTTCAGTCATGTGAGTCATCAAGCAAACCTGACTGACAATTTGAATTTTTTTTTTTGCATTTGATAATCAAAATAATCCTAATACACCCCTTTTCCATATTTTCAGAATTAGGTATTTTCTTTTTAAGTTAAACATCATGACTTTTTTATAGTTATTATTGCTTTAAAAATAATTTAACTGGACAATTTCAAGGTATATAAGTAAAACTATTAGATCATAAATAAAGAGTAATGCATTTCAGTTGTACTTGCTCCTTTCTAATTAAGTAGAATTCTCAAAACAATTTTTTATATTGTGATATGGATTCTCACGTTTTATCCTTACTTGGTATATTTTTTCCATTGAGTATTCTTTAACAAGAATATCTTGCTTTTAAAAATGTTATTGCTACTTAAATGTTGAGTTTTCTTTAGCTGTGTCTGTGCCTGCTTATCCTTTATAGCTGGGTGACCTCAACTCATTAGAGCTCTCCTAATGAGGCCACTGTCTTATGTGCTATTTGTAGATCAGTGAGATTTCTGTAATTCTTGAGCAGCTGGAGTCAGCTTGGCTCCTAGTAGACCGTCTCACAAATGTAGGTTTCTGCTTATAAACAAAAGGAATCACATGAGAGAATGTAAGATGAATAAACAAAAAATTACTCTGACCACTGACATAATTTCTCTTGTAAATAGAAAGCATTATGTCATTATATTCTTTATTTGCTCTTTGAGATTAGGGATTCTTACGAAATAGTTTTTGTATGATATACATTATAGTGGCAAGCCCAAATGGCCATTTCACACTTTTGACTATGACGCCTATACAGATTTTCATATGGATGGCAGTTATGCACCTGATCAAATTAATTTTGTAAGTATTTTGATGAATTGATGATGTACTAGTAAGCCCATTAGATGACGTTGGGAATATATTACTTACTAAGATTATGTTCTAAGTGACACAACAAAGGAAGATATAAAATTCTGTGGGGGAGGGAAAGTGGGATGGGGAGAAGACTGGAGTTTAGGATAAGCAGGGAGAGAAGAAACAGAAGAGGCTTCAAAGAACAATTCCTATTTGAGCTGAGCTTTGAAGGTCCCTTACCATTGAGACCCTGGGGGATGTAAGAGAGGGCATTCTTAAAAGAAAGCAAAGGTACAGAATTAGAAAAGAAATTTTATAGCACATTTAGTTTGGCTATAGCTAACAGGGCACACAAAGGGAAATACAGTTGACCTTTGAACAACACTAACTGCAAGGGTCTACTTATATGCAGATTTTTTCGATAAATACAGTACTATATTTTCTCTTCCTTATGATTTTCTTAATAACATTTTTCCCTAGCTTACTTTATTATAAGAATATAAAATCCTTACAGCATACAAAATATGTGTTAATCAAGGGTTTATGCTATCAATAAGACTTCCAGTCAACAGTAGACTCTTAGTAGTTAAGTTTTGAGGGAGTCAAAGCTTATACCCAGATTTTCAACTATGCAGGGGGTTGGTGCCTCTAAACTGTGCATTGTTCAAGGGTCAACTATAATAAGAGATAAGGTCAAAAACAATTTGCAGCCAAATATTTAAAAAGAATCCTTGAAGATCATGCCAAAGAATTTAAAGTAGGCTGAAAGTAGAGGGGAGTCTGTCCTTGAAAGAGGGAAATGTATCAGTTAAGATTTGTGAATTGAAAGCTTTGTGCTTCTAATAGCTAAGGTATGTGGCCTGGGGCACAAGATAGTAGCAGGAATACTGGCTTGAGATGTCAAAGGTGAGACTTTTGGGATGGCACAGCAGGTAGAAATTTAATGTGTGTGTGTGGGGGGGTAATCCTGGAGGAAAGAGCCCCAAAGAGCAGGTAAACTAAAAACCCGCATGATAGCCCAGCTTTAGCTAACCCCTAAGGGTTATACACATGCAAGTGATCCCAGCAGGCCCAGATGATGAGCCAGAGCTGGGAGATGGAAGAACTCTGATTGCTGTCTACCACAAGGAGACAAAGTTTGAAGTTTATGTTGAACAGGTTAACTGTCAGAATAAGTACTCTTCAGAAGAATATAACAGAACCCAGAGACTTTAAAATACCTTATTCATAATGTTCATGGTATGATTATAATTTCTGGCCTGCTGAGGTTGGATGGGCCCTGGACTAGATTGGGCCAATGAGTAATGAATAGAAATGAAATATGTTACTTCCAGGATGGAGCACTTCATCTCCCAGAAAGAGATCCTTTGGGACTCTTGTTTCCTCTGGTGATGTCAGCAGTGACATCCACCAGGCTACGCCCCTAAGCAATTGCTGTGAACAAGCCCCCTGCCAACCTGAAATTGGCACTTAGCACATGTAAGAAACAGACTTTCATTCTAAGTCACTTACTGTTTTAAGCTTTTGATTTTGGAGATTGGTTGTTATTTCAACATAACCTAGCCTGTTCTGATTGATAAAATTCCCATTGTACTAAGGAGAATTTTCTTCTAGTCTTAGTTTGTTTTAAAAACCCAAATAGGGGGTGCCTGGGTGGCTCAGTTGGTTAAGCATCTGCCTTCAGTTCAGGTCATGATTTCAGGGTCCTGGGATCGAGTCCCACGTCAGGCTTCCTGTTCAGTGAGGAGCCTGCTTCTCCCATTCACTCTCCCTCTGTGCTCTCCCTCTCTTTCTCAAATAAATAAAATCTTAAAAAAACATAAATAGGTATTGGCTTTTATCAAATGCATTTTGCCATCATAATACTAACTAATGTAAATTGCATTAACTGATTTTTATAATGTTAAGCCACTCTTATGTTCCTGTAATAAAACCAACTTTGGCATGAGATACCATAATTTTTATATATTGATGATTTGGTTCTCTCGTAATTTTGTTTAGAAATTTTTCATTGATGCTCATGGATGAGATTGTCCTAGAAGATTCCTTCTTGTAATGTGTTATAATGAACTTGTTGCTATCAAGGCTATGCTAGCTTCATAAAATGAGTTGGCATGTCATATAATATTAATAATAATATTATTCCCATTTTATAGACCAAGCAACAGTATCACATGGAGTAAAGCAACTTGCCCTAGGTTCAATGGCTACTAAATGGTACAGCCAGTTCAAAGCTGGCTGGTCTGATTCCGTAGTTTATGCTCTTAGCCCGTATATTGTCCTGTTGATCTGCATGTAGGATTAAGAGTCTTAAGAGCTAGCAAAAAAAAAGTTCACTGCTACAAAATGAATAAAGAATGTAATTAGGTAAGAAGCAAAAGCCTCTAACCAAACACCAGACCCTGCAAAACCGTTAATAAACATTCAAAGAGAGATAGGAGCCTGAACATAATGGATTTATAAAGAAGAAAAAATACTATTAAGAAGCAATAATCAGAATGAAAGTAAATTATGGTAACTAACAAAATACTCAATGAAAGTTTTGGAAGATGATGTTAAGGAAATTTCCCAGGAAGTAGAACTAAGCAGAATCAAGAAATCTGAGCAAAAAGATAAAGATATTGGAGAATCAACCTACAAGATAATTTTATATGTATAACTTCTATAATTATAATTTATATAATTTAATATTTACATATAATAATTTTATATATATTGTTTATATATGCAGGAATTATAGACAGAATTAGAGAATCAACTAATTGATTCTCTAAGGGACCTTCAAAGCTCAGCTCAAGTAGGAATTGTTCCTTTAAAATTTTATATGTAAAATTTTATATATATACAAAAGTAATTTTATATATAATTTATATAATTTTATATATAATTTATACATAATATATATTTACATATATATAATAATTTTATATATAATTTATATATATGCAGGAATCACAGAGAAATAAAATAGAGGGAGAACATTATTACAGAAAGAATACATGAATGGTTTCTAGTGTTGAAAGACCTTTCTCTCTAAATTGAAATTTCCCAGTACAATGAAGAAACACACAGCTGCATCAAAGCATATTGACCTGAAATTTCACATCACCAGAAATAAAGAGAACATCCAGAAAGCTTTCAGAGATTGGGAGAAACAGGCCACAGGCAAATGGCCAAAAACTCCAGTAGCATCAAGATGTCCAAAGCAAGGTAATAACTTGGGAGACAAGACCTCAAAATTCTAAATGAACATTATTTTCAACATAGCCAAACTAATAATCAAGTGTGATGGAAGGATTTCCAGACAAGGATTAAAACTAAACTTTTCATGTACTTACAGGAAACTACTAGGAAATGTGCACTATAAAAATGATGAGGAAAACAAGACAAACAGTTAAGGAAAAAGACAGTAAACCTGAGAGAGGAATTAACAATAGTGTTGGGTCATTGGGACCAGACTGGAACAGAAAGATGGAGAGTGGAAGGACCCAAGTCTCCAGAAAAAGAAAGAAAATTGATAGGTAGCCTGATGTTCTGAACATTTGAAAAACATTCATTTGCTAGATCTTAAAATATTTGAAAAATAGTAAGTATATACAAATCAAACAAACTAAATGAGACAATTATCAGTGCTAAGCAAAACAAGTTGTCTAAGGAAAGAAATGTAATCATAGTAGATGCGTGACTTGCAGTGAATAGAACTGATGTGATCACAATAGTAAACAATTGATTATTAATTTGACCAAAATTGTGATATAACTATATTGTAAGGATGGAGGGGGGGAAGAAGATGAGTTTGTGAAAGAGAGATAAATTTTTAAAAATTGAGCTATAAGTGACATATAACATTATATTAGCTTCAGGTGTACAATGTAATGGTTTGATTAGTATAAATTAGAAAATGATCACTACAATAAGCCTAGTAAACATCTGTCACCACATATAGTTACAAAAAATTTTCTTGTGATGAGTGCTTTTAATATCTACTCTCTTAGCAATTTTTAAACATCAACACAGTATTACTAACTATAGTCAACATGATGTACATTACATCCCCATGACTTATTTTATATGTTTTTATTATTTTATATATTTATATTTATTTTATTTATTTTATAACTGGAAGTGTGTACCTTTTGACCTTCACCCATTTCTCCCACTCCCAACACCCGACCTCTGGCAACCACCAATGTCATCTCTGTATCTACGAACTCGTTTTTTGTTTTGTTTTGCTTTAATTTCTTGAGATTCCACATAAGAGATCATATGGTTTTTGTATTTCCCTGATTTCACTTAGCATAATGCCCTTGAGGTCCATCCATGTTGTCAAAATGGTAGATTTCCTTTATATGGCTGAATAATATTCCGTCATAGATATACACCACAATTTCTTTATCCATTCATTCATCAATGGACACTTAGGTTATTTCTATATCTGACAATTATAAATAATGTTGCAGTGAGCCTGCGGGTTGAATTAGTGTTTTTGTTTTCTTCAGATAAATACCCAGAAGTGTAATTGCTAGATCATTATGTTAGTTCTTTTTTACCTTTTTTGAGGAAACTCCATACCTTTTTCCATAGTGGCTGCACCAGTCTGCATTCCCACTAACAGTGTACAAGGGTTCCCTTCTCACTACATCTTTGCCAACAAGTTATTTCTTGTGTTTTTGATAACAGCCATTCTAACAGGTGTGAGGCGATACTGTGGTTTTGATTTGCATTTTCCTGACAGTGATGTCAAGCATCTTTTCAGGCCTGTTGGCCATCTGTATATCTTCTTTGGAAAAGTGTCTATTCAAATCCTCTGCTCATTTATATTATTTTATTTTTTTTATTAACATAATGTATTATTTGTTTCAGGGGTACAGGTCTGTGATTCATCAGTCTTACACAATTCACAGCACTCACCATAGCACATACCCTCCCCAATGTCCATCACCCAGCCACCCCATCCTTCCCAACCCCCTCCACTCCAGCAACCCTCAGTCTGCTCATTTTTCAAATTGGATCTTTTTTTTTTTGTTATTGAGTTGTATGAGTTCTTTATATATTTTGGATATTAACCCCTTATCAGATACATGATTTGCAAATATTTTCTCCCATTTGGTAGGTTGCTTTTTCATTTTGTTTATGGTTTCCTTTGCTGTGCAGAAGCTTTTAGTTTGATATAGTCCCACTTGTTTATTTTTGCTTTTGTTGTGAGAGCTAAATTTTGATCATTACTTGGTAACTGGCAGTCTCCACCAAAACCATATGGTTGGGAACAAACAGTGGGAACAACCTCTCAAAGTTCCCAAACCAAGACTTTTTTCTTGTGATTAGTGATCATTTCTCCCATTTATCTGTAATCATAACCAATTATTTGGGTTTCCTTTTGTCATCTTACTGGGTTTGTTTTTGTTTTTTGTTTTTTTACATTCTACCTTGGCTTTTTTTTTTTTAAGTTATTGCCTAACTTAATATTTCATTTTTCTTTCCCTACTACTTCATATGATGACCATCTATTTTAACCCACTAATGGTTACTTTTTAAGGCCTAAAAACTTATCATATTTTTCTAATTATTCACAGCATGAAAGAAGCAACATCTCTTGATACCCTAAATTTAAGATAGAAGATGATCATTCATCTGTTTCTATCAGCTCATTCTCTACCTTGTTCTCATTCCCAGCATCTTGTGGGAGGATCTGGGGTGTCAAGTGTCATCTTGGCCTTGGTCAGCTTTGCCTTGACCTTGCAGCAGCAGCAGAGCATCAACTGGGGCCTTCTTAGAAATCCAGTCCCCAGATCCATCTCACAGCTGCTGTGTGGGACCTGCATTTCACCAAGCGATTCATATGCACTTGCAGGTGATTCATACACACGCTGAAGTTTGGGACATGGTGCGTTAGAGGCAGGCTGTCCACTTGGATTGGTAAAGACTGTAGATCTTGGAGCTGAAGGTCAGGCAGTGGAAGAAGAACCAGCATCATACGGTCTCAGGGTCAAGAGGTTTACTCTTCTTCCACAGGCAGAAAAAAACACTAATTTAAGTAGCTGTTTGTTGTTTTAAACATGATGCCATGTTTTTTCCGAGAACCAAGGCTTATACCAATTACATCTTTACCTAGAATATTTTTATCGATATAAATTGATCCTCTATACCTGTGAAATTTTTTACATTAAATTCTACCTTTCTACAATTAAAATAACTTCCTTCCTTTTTTCTCTTTCATCCCAATATATCATTTATTTTTAAACTAGTCAAGTATTATTTAGTTTTATATACAGTTTTTTTTTTTTCCACAAACCAATCTGAAAGTTAATTTTCAGGTTAAAGCTAATTTATTTGATTTCATGTTTTTCACCTTATTTTGTGCTTTTGACACTTAGCACCTCTTTGCTGTCTGTTCAGCTTTTGTCATTTTAACATGTAGGTTCTGTTTTAACTACTTAGATCTTTTCCATGATTTTGAAGGCTTATACCCAATTTCCTTGGATTTTTAGACACATTACTCCAAAATAATTACTTGAGATTTCATGCAGTTTTGGAACTCTTTTTTTTTTTTGCAATATAAAATACACATTTTTATTGTTATGTTAATTGGAACTCTTTTCCATCAACTATTTAAACTTAACTCTAGATTTAGTGGCTTTTAATGTTAACTGCTTTTCACACTATGACATCCTCATTTTGGGGTCCTTAACTTGGCTTTACCTCCTGAGAGTTGGAGCATATTCTCAGTAGCTACTTGTATAAGACAGGTGGACATTTTACTTATGAGTCTTTTTTTTAACAAGTGTTCATGCAGTTTGTTATGTACGTCAGGTCTTCTACTCATGTGCATGGGATGAAACATACCCAAGGTGGTTATCTTCCAGTGCTCATTGTTGTCTGGAATTTACTGTTGGTAAAATTCTTAACCCTGGTTACTTTTATTTCTTTGTGCGTAGCATTCCGTCCCCCGACCCCTGTGGGTTTCTGCCTCTGTCTCCTAGATGCTATATCTTCCTGAGTCCTGAGTTTCTATGGGTTTCTTCTGGCTCCTGAACTAAATGTTGTTGAGGTATTCTTTTCCTTTCATTGTTCGAGATATTTCCTTCCTTGTGTGTAGGAGCCTTTTATGAATGGCCCCATGCGGTGGTGTTAGCGTGATTGCTCTTATTGCTACTGAAGACAGAGATTCCCAAACCCAGTGCTTGTGGTTGCTCTTGGCGTCTTTGTCCTCCTGGCCATTACTGGAATCCCTATCTGAGTTTAATATGTAGAGTTTCTAGAGGCTCCTTCCTGGTATTGCTCTACTGGATTTTGATGCATGTGTGTTTTCCTAACCGGATGGAGTAAATGGAAACCTACATCCCATAGTCCAGAAGGCTGAGAGGGTTCCTCTCATCCTTGCCCTATAAAGTTCTGCTGTTGCTGTCAGCAATCAGTGTTCCATTGTCAACCCTGACTCCTTTATACCAGTATTTTTTGAAGTTTCTGACCCAGGATAACCCAAGAAGGCGGAAATCAAAAAGTGGGAGGAAAGGGAAGCAACTATAACTGTGCCATAAAGCAACACAAATGGAATGAAGTATGAGATGCACACTTTTCTGGTTATTACTGAATGACCTCACTTGGGGTCTTAAAACAAAGAGAAGGAGAAAGAAAAAGTGTCTTCTTACCTGCTTTCCTATTAGAAAGCCTAGAGATACTGAATGTGTGATCAGCCTTGTAATTAGCTGAAGTCAACCCCAGATTCTAGAGGTTATATAGGCAGCTTCGTCCAGTTCTTATCCTTGTAGGGAGTTTGTGTATTTTGCTTTACTGGTATAGATATTAGTTAGAATTCGAGGAAAACTATTCAAAAACTGCTAGCTGGTGATGGTAAGGTTAATTTTTGCCCTTGGAGAGAGTCAAAATTATACTAATAGTACAGCTTGAAAAATCAGGTACACATGCCTGTTACATGTTATGCCAATTATGTGCATCAGCCTGCTTCCAGATCAATTAGCCTCAATCCAGAATTCACCTGAAAAGATTTAGTTTACGCACGTTATATTTTTTACACTGTGCTGGAACTGTGCAGGATCTTGCATAATCAGTATTCCTTCCTGAGAAAAATTTGACTTTAGTGATGTAAGTAGATTGAGGAGCAAACCAAGTTAGATTCAGGATCAGTATATAGTAGTGGAAGCCCAGGAAGGAAAGCAATGATATCTACCAAAATAAATTCTCATTGCCTTTGGAATCTTGAATTATCAAATTCATATATAGTAAATTTTACCTGACAAAACATGTTTACTGAATTCTTAATAATGTTTTCACTTGTGAGCAAATCACCTCTAGTACGTATGTACTGTAAATTTTGTCCTTAGAACACATCACTTCTCTTAACTCATTTAAATATCTTTAAAATACAGATCAAATAAAGTTGAAAATCAATTCACCTTGGTCTGCAATGCTCTACTTTGGTATGTTTTAACTGTAAACAGTATAATCAAAATATTACTTAGAAACTCTCTTTCCACCTTTCAGTGTTTTCAATGGATATGAGTGAAAAAGTCCTGAGAAGACAGTGATCCTAACAAGAACAGATTCTTCTAAAGAAAAGAACAGACTTCTGGATGTTGCTGCTGTTCTGCTGGGTGCAGGAGGCAAAGGATCATGTCCTCTAAAGATAGTTCCTGGGGAGAATGTTCTGGGTCTTTTTATTGGTCAATAAAACTTGTAGGGCATTCTCTATAAAATGTAGCATTTCAGCTAGAATTTAACATATTCAAAAATTGTGAACTGTTAGAATAAATCACATCTGGAAAGGATTTTACTGTCACTCAGTATTATATGTCCTTCCTGAAGTACTTCAAAGATCAGCCCTTCACTCAGCTGATGCATGAGGGGAGAGGAAGCTGCTTTAAAGTGTCCCTTCTCTTCCCATGTTACTTTTCACAGAAGGTAGGCTGTCCTTTTGCTTGGGTTTACTTCTATGTCTTGGTAGAAACCTGGAGTGGTCAGTTATAGATCTCTTACAAAAAAATCTCAAAAACATGAGAGCAAGTTTCAGAGCTGATTTAGTCTAAACAGTGACAGCAGAATGGCCAAAAATCTAGAATTCTAATGATACTTAATTCAAATCAGTAAAAAGGTCACCATAGATAAGATGAAATAATCCAGGTGTAGGAAATGACCCAATGTTGAACTAAAACTAGAACTAAATAGTTCTTGCTTTGGTCAAAGCACATGGCAAGAACAGCTCTCAGATAGTGAGGGTGGGGTTCCCCCAGATCCTAGGAGACACAGGTGTCTGGTCAGTCATGCCAGGAAGTGGTTCACCCTGGACTAGGGAGTGAGGCAGAACTTGTGGTGGGGGAAGAGGCCAAATGCCTAGGGCAGTTGGGAAAGGGTGGGATGTCCCTGCCCAGGAGGTGCTCAGCCCCACCCCTCTGCTTTCCAGCTGCAGCAGCAGTATGGATGGGCAACTCTGGTGCGCACAGAGCCCGGGGTGTGATGGTGGGTGGTGAGGGCCTAGGCCTGGCCATTCCCAACCTGTGGAGAAGCCGGCCATCCCCTCCTGGACCCTTGTCCCCAGATGATGGCTCTATTATAAGGGTCAGCAGCAGCTGTAGAGCGAGATGAGGAGGCTGGACCCAGAGCAACACAAGCAACAGAGCTTGTTCGGGAGTCATTATAGACCGTCTTATTGGCAAATGAAAATCTCAGAAACACTTTGGGAGGGGGCTGCTTTCAGACAACTAGTCCAAAGAGATTCATGCCTGAAGAACCTGGCCATAGAAATAAAGCATTTCATCCTATAAACAAAGAAATAAAGTCAATGACAGGGTTACTCTAGAATTTCCCCAGGTAACCTATCACAGATAAAAAAAAAATTTCAAATATTTGGTAACATTAATTCTTCTCTATTCAATTTTTTTCGTAAAATTATGAATCCTATTACCTAAAAGATCCTAAACATAATTGGGTTTATATGGTAATTTAAAAATTAGGGATGTCATTTGAAAAGAACTTGGAAGTTGGTGGTGTAGAATACAAAGACACTTTACTTCTGCGTGTATAAATTAATGTTAATGCTTGCGTCATTACTGGGAAGCATTTTAAATTAGTATAAAGCCTGTGCGATTGGTTTATGTGGTGAAGCTTCAGTGCAGTAACAATGGGATAGAGTAGATTTGGGATGTCTGGCCCCGTAAGTCAACCTATAAAATTCCCGCAAAACCTGGGGATAGCCTCAGTCTGTTGTGTTTTATTGCTTAATTAGCGAGTTGTCAAAAAGCAGCACCTTCTAAGCTGAATGATGCTTTTTCACCTGTTCACTTACTTTTTATCGGGATAATGAGCTGTGGAATGACAGGAAGAATCTTGTTCCCCCCGTGTTCCAGCATGTCGTGGATTCCTTGCCGAGCAAAAAACTCGTAGGGAAATGTCATTTCACAGAGCCCATCAAAAAACAGGGGCAGATAATGATGGTAATCCAGCTTCTCAATTTCTACCTGAAAGGAGAGAGAAGAAATGCCATGTGAAGACAACAATGGGGCAAAGCATGGCTGGATCAGCTATGAGGCTGTCACTGACTTAGGAGGAGCACGTTCTTCAGGACTTTGGGAAAACTTTATTAAGCAACTCATCTAACGACCTGAAGTACATCAGCATGTCTTTATTCCATTAGCAATGGGGTCACAGTCATTGACCTTTACATTTTAACAGATTGGAATAATAAATAATAAATAATCAACATTGATATTTGTTTTGCAGTCCTTTGGTTAGTATTTTACCATTTGGCACAAATGTAATATTGAAAAGCATTCAAGAAGTCCACCGTATGTATGTTGAAAAGACATATGTAAGAACAGAATGAAAAAAAGAAAAAACAGTTGAAGAGAGATTAGCATATGAATTTCCAACAGGAATCTAATAGGGATGGCACACCAGTATATTCTTGTGAAATGTGTCTTTTCGGGACCTAGCAAGTATGAGAGTGAGGGATAAAACAGGATTGTGTGAATATTCCCTGGATCCTGCAGGATAAGGAGAATGTTGATGCTCTCAAGTCACCTCAAAAAAAATAAAAATATCCCAATCTCTCTTGGCTGCTCCATTGGGGAACAGAAATATATCACTTTTCCATTGCTATATCCTTCACCCTCAATAATGCCTCCATGACTTCCTGTCCTGATCTTTGTAAAAGCATCCAGCAGCAACAGCAAATGGAAACAAAACCTCTGGGGTTGAGAAAAGAGATGTGTTGAGCGCTGCAGGAGATCTGTTCCAGCCTCTAGCCCAGGTCCTTCACTGTCTAGAGTATCCATGACCTGACTTGCTACCTGCAAGGTGACAGAAGTGATGGTGATATCATGAATGGAAAGAAGCCAACAGACTCAGACTGAGGACACAATCCATTTACAGAGCAAAGGATGCATGCAGCGTTTCCAGGGGGAGGTGCAAATTCCCCAGGTCTTCAAGTCCTTATGAATGCACCCAGCTTTGAATTACCACCTTATAATTAAATGAGGAGCCCATCAAGACCTCAGAGAAACTGCCCTTTACATTAGGAGGTTCTTATATCTTCTAGCTCTCTCTCAGCTTTTTGGAGTCTCTAGCCACATGGCTGCCTGTCCCCAGGGATGAGTAACTGGTAACACCCCTATCACATCCCCAAGTGTCTATTGTAGATTGAATCAAATGTCCTGCAGTTCCCCAAGAAGGAGGTCTGTCTCCAGTCTGCTCATGGACTTCCCAGCCAACTAAGGAAGTAAACAGTCAAGAGTTGAATGTTTAGATGTCCTCTTGGAATTGGAGCTTGGAAAATGAGTCCCAGAGGGAGGTATACATGGACATCAATTTCATTTTATATTCCTTTTACATTCATAAAATTTACTTTGTTCATAGCAACATTTTATGGAATATATATCCAATGCCAGCCTTCAAGGATTATTGTGTATTTGAAGACATTTTAGAACACCATTTTGTACAACTGTTTTGTTCATTCCTCATGACAACTAAAAGGTATTGCTACATCATTCAGCTCCAAAACGTACAGTGTTACTATCAGTTTTACCTTGTAGCCTAACTTCATAATATAAATGTCATCTGTATTATATTTTTTCTATATTATTGATGTTTTTCTAATTCTTTTAGCCCACTGTCACATTTGTACATATGTGTCCTATAAATACAAATTATTAAATTTTGTATTTTAATGTGATCTAGGACTTTTTAATACTTTCAGTCACTCATATTTATCACAATGTCTATTTTGACTTCTGTCATCTTATTTTTTGGCCCCTGGTTGTGTTTTACATTTACTTTTTCCTTTCTATTTTGCAGTTTTTTTTTTTTTTTTTAACGTAGATCACTTTTTGGGGGGGCAGTGATTTGAAAAATAAGAAAGCCTATTTAAATATTTTATTGCTGCTATCTCATGTCTTTCTCAAACATTTAAAAATGAATTTAGGTCACTTGGAGAAGCAAATTAAAAATCTCCTACTAAGACGGCTGACATGCCATTTTTTTCCTTGGAATTCCATTGATTTGTTTCTTTGTGTGGTTTGGGGAAACAATACTAAGAACATCCACAACAGCAGCAGTAAAAAAATGCCATGTTTATGATACCAGACACTATTGTAAATACTTAGGTGTATTAGTTCATTTCATTCCTCATGACAACTCTAAAAGGTGGGTGTTATGAGTATCTCCATTCTCCATATGGAGAAACTGAGGCACTAAGAGGTTCAATAACTTGCCTAAGGTCTCCAGCTAGAGAGAGGCATTGCTGGGATCTGAACCCAAGCTGTCTGGCTGCAGGATGTGATACTGTCTCTCAGGCTATGTTGTTAGGCACATAGAGGTTCAGCCTTATTATAATCTCTTGGTGACTGTTCCACTTAACCTCATGTCTCCATCCCTGTTATCATTAGTAATGCAGGGTGTCCTAGTCTACTCAAATACCAACAATTGTTTTCTACAACTTTGCATACTCTACAAATAAAATGCTATGTCTTCCCCATTAGGACTACAGTGATTATTTACATTTCATGAATTTTATGAGTATTTTAACAATCAGAATGGCTTGCTTCTTGGTGCTTCTATTCACCCTCATTTCACTACAAATCATTTAGGGATTAATTTGCTATTGTTTATTTTTAAAACTTTAGAAGGAAAAGTTTCTGGTTTTCATAGCATCATCAAAAACAAACATTAATGTATGTCCATAAGTAATATATTGATCATAACACAAGGTCTTTTTTCAAAAATCTAGATATTGAGAATAATTCAAGATTAAAACTAAAATTTAAGAAAAGTAAGGAGATCCCTTATTTGTCTTTGTGCATGTATTTGTCACATGGTGATGATTATTCTTTAGAATTCTTCTAAATCGGGCACCTGGGTGGCTCAGTTTGTTAAGCAACTGCCTTCGGCTCAGGTGATGATCCTGGAGTCCTGGGATCGAGTCCCGCATCGGGCTCCCTGCTCAGCGGGGAGTCTGCTTCTCCCTCTGACCCTCTTCCCTCTCGTGCTATCTCTCATTCTCTCTCTCAAATAAATAAATAAAATCTTAAAAAAAAAAAAGAATTCTTCTAAATCAATGTGGTTTTTTTTTGTTCATTTAGACTTACAAAAGGTCATTTTTGCTGTTTATTCAGCAATAAACTTCAGTTATATAAATCATTTTGCTCTTAGGATAACTTGTTTTAATGACATATTACACTTTATATTTCTTTAGTATTACTATAAAAATAGTTTTCAAACTTTTGTAAAATTTGGGAACCTTTCTTTGAAGTTTATGCAAGAAATCCAGAATTAAAAGAAATCTCTTTGAAGTAGGACACAGAACAAGGACCATTTTAGATACATCAGATAAAATTACACAGTAACATACTGATTGATGACCACTTGGATGTTAACTCCAGAAACATCAAGTAGTTTTACTCACAGAATCTCTCTCTTTTTAAAATTTATGTTTTATAACTTTTTAAAGATCACACAGTGCTCACAAGTTATCTCTAAATCTTACAGTGACCTTTGGTCAAAAGCAATAAAATTCTAACTTTACCCGGAATATCATATATAACTTTTTATCCCCATAACAAATGTGTAAGGTAGTAATGCTATACCGAAAGGTCAGAAACACAATGAGGTTAATGATTTTCATTAAAAACTCAAATTAGAAACTTACTCTTACATTTTCCGTAACTTTGCTTCAATTAGCAAATACAATATACCTGGAAATATCTGTTATAGGAACCAAAGATCTTGCTTAGAATCACAAATTAATCTGAAAAAGTATAATTATCTATTAATATATTATGACTTCATTTGGACTTACTATGGCATTTATAAAATAAAGCCTCAGCCCCACTGTTCTTCCTTGAGGAAGCTGGTGAGTTACTGCAAGAGGGCTTACAAATTATATAGGCATTAAGCACTGTTTGTGGATAGTGTGTATAACATATTTCAAAAATGGATGTACTTTTATTTTTCAAATGCATGTAGATGTGGTTATGATAAATAACTTAAAAAATGTCATTTTAAGCTTTTTCAATGATACTGAATATATAGTTAAAATTATGTACTAATGCATGAAATTTTTGATGCAAAGACTTTTGAGCATGAAAAATGCTCTTTAATGTCAAAAAGGAGACCTCACACAGGACGGAAGACAAGACTAATGTGATCCTTAGACTGCTACAAAGCCTAAAAAATACCAAAACGTGTTCAATGCAAAGTCGATGTCAGGAAATCCTCAGAGGCTAGAGATAAAGACAAAAATCCAGAGTCACAGAGGTGGTGCCATTTGACTTAAGAGAGTAGCAGACACAGATCAGATCTCACGATTGGGACTGAGGTTTTAATGTCTCCAGAGTCCAGGAAAACAGGGCATTTAGCAAGAGAAGGGGCTAAGCTGAGACTCTTGCATAGGACTGGGGCCCTACAAGGGTTGCCCCACCTTGGAAAGGGAACCAGAAAGTCTCTCCTTGAGTTTGTAGAGACAAAGAAAACTTGTGGAAAAGAGAAAGAGAGCATGTGACAAAGCTCTTAATGGGAAAGATCTCTTTTGAGAAACAGAAACCTAAAGTAAAAATCTAAAGTAAAAATCTAGTAGAAATCTAAAGTAAAAAAAAAATTTAAAAATTTATATATATATGTGTATATGTGTGTGTGTATATATATATATAAATTATATATATATATATATATTCCCATTTCCCAGACCATGGAAAGGAAACTTCTGGGACCCAGACAAAGCAAATGGAAAGTGTTAATACTCCCATGAGCTCATGGGAGTATTAGGGCTGCCATAGAAAATGCAACTCCATCTAAAACTTACCACCGTCATGGTGATGGAACCACCATAAGAAAGACTAAATAGACCAGTGAGCATGGTAATGAGCTCTGGAACTAGCAACTAGAAATTACAGAATAAAATCTGAAAAGAATTTTTTAAAGTGGGGGCACCTGGGTGGCTCAGGAGGTTGAGCATCTGCCTTCAGCTAGTGTCATGATCTTGTAGTCCTGGGATCAAGGCCCAGGTCAGTCTCCCTGCTCAGCAGGGTGTCTGCTTCTTCCTCTCCCTCTGCCCCTCCCCCTGCTTGTGTGTGCGCGTGCTCTCTCTCTCTCTCTCTCTCTCTCTCAAATAAATAAAATCTTTTAAAAAACAAGAATTTTTAAAAGTGCTTAAAACATAGAATATTTTTAGAAAAGGACTGAATAAAATTTCCAAAGGATATAGAGCAGCATTAACTTCAGAATCCAGTCGTTGGATAATAGATTGACCACAGACAAAAAGAGAAGGCGGGGCCTGGGTCACAGAACCTGGAAAGCCAATGCAGAGGTAGCACCAGAAAGCCCCCATCTGACTTGCTCCCCGTGCGACCCCAGGGAGTTCCAGAGAGACAGGGAAAGGAGGTATTTGGAGAAATGACAACTGAGGAAAGATGTGAATCTTCAGGCTAAAGACGCAAATCTGGACACTTCAGAAAAACGATAGAACTCCAGAGTCAAGGAAAAGATTTAAAAGCAACTAGAAACAAAAGATAGATGACATATAAAGGATCAAAACTGGGCTCGAAATTACACTTCTCATTAACAAAATAGAGGCCACAAGGTGGTAAACACCCCTCAACGCGTTAAAGGAACAATGATTAATCTTCAGTGCCATACTCAGCTAAACTGGCATGCAAGATAAAGACAAACTAGATGTATTTGACCAAGATGGAGATTTTTTGTTTTTTCAACCCAGAGATCATCATCCTCACTGAAGGATAAAATGTACTATATAAGCTGAACAAAGGACAGAGAAATGAGATGCAAGAGATAACAGTAAATAAACTGAATTAAGACCAAACAACGCATTGACTATAAATTTTTTTTTAATCATCAATTATGATGAGGTTACAAAGTGAAGTCGTAATACTAGAAAGGAAAAGTAGAGAAAATGACAGGAAAGTGATCTGAGTCAAAGTAAGTTCCTTGTATTGATAGGGATGAAAATAAAGTTATTGGTTAACTTCAAAATTAATTAAATATATTAAAGTGCAAGAATACCAGTCAATAGAATAGAAACAGAATTAACTTCCAAGAGAACAGAATATAGTAGAGGGAGTGGATAAAGCTCTATTGACCTAACAGAAGGCTAGTCAAACATCCCAGCTGGGTGTTTGGAAAGCAGAAAAACACATGGAGAGGAGAAAATATGTAGGATGAACCCAAATATGTAAGTAATCATCTTAAGTATAAATTATCTTATTCTCTTAAGAAATTGTTAAGAAAAAATATACTTCAGTTATAAATTTGTTTATAAGAATCACATTCAAAATACAGAGAAAAATGAAAAATAAAAAGGTATGGTTAAAAGAAATAATAAATATGATATAGGATAAATTCCTGGAATAGAAACTGCTTTCTCAAAGGGTATATATTTTTATATATTTACAATTTTGACAGAAATTGCCAAATGGTGCTTCACGGGATGGCATTAAATTATATTTTCATCAACAATAAATGACAGTAGCTGTTTTCCATTGTTTATTCGAAGAAAACGCTATCAGTTTGATTTTTGACAATATTATAGGTAAATATTCTTTCAGTGTTGTTTTAAGTTCCACTTCTCTTACTGTGAGAATAATAGCCTTTTAAAGATATTTTTGAAAGCCATTTATATATCCTTTTCTGTGAGTTGTATTTTCATATCCTTTGCCATTTTTTTGGTACCCATTGACATTTGTTTTCTTTTCTCTCTCTTTTTTGAGCCTTTTTTTTTCACCAAATTCATTTTTTCTTAAATTCCATTAGCCAACTTATGGTACATCATTAGTTTCAGATGTAGTGTTCAATAAATGAGCTCTTTTATGTTAGGGAGATTCAACTTTTGTATGTTACGTCCATAACATTCAAACATCTGGAAACGTAACATTTCAAAAAATTGTTTTTGCCATGCAGACTTTTGTTTTAGAATTCATTAACCTTTTGTGAGGTCCTGAATTTTGAGTCATCATTAAAAAGATTTTTCCCCCAGCATTATAATAAGGGGTATGTGCACCCCAATGTTTATAGCAGCAATGTCCACAAGAGCCAAACTATGGAAAGAGCCAAGATGTCCAGTGATGGATGAATGGATAAAGAAGATGTGGTATATATATATGCAATGGAATATTATGCAGCCATCAAAAAAAACCCAAAAATGAAATCTTGCCATTTGCAATGACATGGATGGAACTAGAGGGTGTTATGCTGAGCGAAATAAGTCAATCAGAGAAAGGCATGTATCATATGATCTCACTGATATGAGGAATTCTTAATCTCAGGAAACAACCTGAGGGTTGCTGGAGTGGTGGTGGGGTGTGAGTTGTATAGGACTGTTGAATCACAGACCTGTACCTCTGAAACAAATAATACATTATATGTTAAAAAAAAAAAAAAGATAGTAAGAAGGGAAAAATGAAGTGGGGGGAATCAGAGGGGGAGACGAATCATGAGAGACTATGGACTCTGAGAAACAAACTGAGGGTTCTAGAGGGGAAGGGGGTGGAGGGATGGGTTAGCCTGGTGATGGGTATTAAAGAGGGCACGGATTGAGTGGAGCACTGGGTGTTATGCGCAAACAATGAATCATGGAACACTACATCAAAAACTAATGATGTAATGTATGGTGATTAACATAATAAAATAAAATTAGAAAAACAGAATATATCTCAAAACAAAATATATTAAAGGTGTTTATACAATAAATCATGTCCAAATAAAAAAAAATTTTGTCATCATACATTACAAAATTATATGAAAATTCAACTGCTCAGGCTGAAAGATCTCTCCATATTCAAGCACAAAATCTTGTAATAATTTAATGACTATTATTGTAATAATTAAATAAACAGCATTTTCAGCCTGAAAAAAAAGATTTTTCCCCATTTTGTAGCAGAATAGAAACAATTTATAATGGTTTATTCTAGTATTTTTATGATTTCTTTATATTGAAATCATGAATCCATTTGTAACTTTTCTTGGTGTAAGTGGAGAGACTTTCTTCCAACTGTAACTCTCCACAAGGTTACCAATTTAGACAAGTTTTAGACATAAGGTCTACTTAATGGACCTATATAAAACCTTGCATTCAATAATTAGATAAAACATTTTTTACAAGCGTACAAGGGACAGCTTAGAAAACTGAATAGTAGTAAGACACAAAGTAAGTTTCAAGAAATTCCAAAGTATGACATATGCCTTACATTTTCTGAAGAAAAGGATAGGCAAACTTTTAATCTCCACACATTTGGAAATTTAAAAACACTTTTAAATCACTCAGACCAAAGAGAAAATCCTTATAGAAATAATAACATGTTAAAATTGAATCACAGTGAAATCACCTAACCTTAAAAAATAGAAAAATGCCCATCTGTAAAGACTTCTTAAGAACAGAAAAAGAAGGAAACGGATACAACTTGCTATCGGAGGCCAGCATAACCTTGCCACAATGATCAGGCCAATCTCACTGAATCAAAATAAAGTACTAGGCAAATTGAGTTCAGTGGCATGTTCAAAATTATGGCCAAGTGGGCTGTATTGCAGAAATAACCAGGATACTTCAATATCATGTTTAAATTTTTAGATCAAAGGAGGAAAAATGAGATCATCTTAGATGCAGATAAAGCATTTGATGAAATCATTAAAAAATAAAAACTCTAAGGAAAAACCTACAGCAAATATCATACTTTATGGAGAAACTTTAGGAACATTCTCATTATGGAGAAAGCCATAGAAAGGAGGCATGGAGACTGGTGTCATCATTTCAACATTGTACTGGAGGTTCTAGCTAATGAGGAAAGTAAAATATGTATGAATATTGGCAAAGAAGAAACAAAACTCTTGTTATTTGAGGATGATATAGCTATCTACATAGAATGCCCAGAGAATCTACAAACAAGTGTAATTAGTAAGGGAGTTCAGGAAAATTGCTGCATAGAAGATCAGCACACTAAAAATAATAGCATTTCCATATGCCACTAAAAAGTACATAGGAAATACTTTTTAAAATATTCACAATAGCAAGAAATGAAGCAAAACAAACTCTTTAAGATAAAGAGTAATAAAACTAACAGTCAATGCATAAGACTTTATGGAGACAATGACAAAGTATTATTGACAAGCAAAATGGAGGACGGGCACAGTGTTCTATGAACAAATGAATATATTGGCTATACTCATGGATGGGCAAACTCAAACTCAAAGTTGGTGAGTCTGTCCAATTTAATCTATAAAGATCGGAGAGTCTTAGTGACATGTTGGGACCACATTCCAAGCAGTGGCAGAGTGAGGATCAGAGCCTGGTGCTTCTTTCCTTTGACCTGCTCACCTTTTTTCACTATCATGATGGCTTGTTGTTTCATTACGAATATTGAAGGTTCTGTCTAGCTGGCAGGTATTAATTACTGAGTAACAAATCTGGACTTGAGAGTGTATAATCAAGTTATTTTATGGAATAACCTTATTTTAAGTTTCTGTCAAAACTGCTAACAAGACAGCTAAAGGTCAGTTGTAAGCAGATCTCGAATTTATGCACACTTAACCTTTATTATCCAGGGATGGTATGTTCCTAACTGCAGCAGTCAATGAGTGATACTTTCAAGTGTAATAAATAAAAAATCCCTTGTTCTGTAGCTTTGAACATTCCCACCTTCTGTCACCTGTCATAAAGTTAAAGGAATTTCCTAAAAATTTTAAGATTAGTATTTTTTAAAACCAAGAGTGCATAAAAGGAGCAAAATACGTATTAATATAGAAGTTTCTCTTTCCTTTATCACATCTCTATGTAATACTAAAAATAGTATAATTTTGTCACAG